ACTCGGTTGCTGCTTGACATAGATTGCTAAGCCTTTAAATATTTTGCATGTGGAGGATATGAAACAAAATATGTTTTTTAGGTTTTATATATACTTTTGAATAACTAAAAAATCATAAATTACTACATCAGTACCACAGAATTCTACTATAATTTATCATACTTAGCAACTAATCTGTATTTGGTCCTAAAAAAATTCAAAATTTCAGGCAGATTAAAGACACAACCTACCTTATTGAAATCTTGGTTCAAAAGAAAGAAATGGCACTATGTGCATTAGAAAGGCTTTGAAAACTACTAAGAGGACATTCTGAACTTCCAATTGGTTATTCATGTCATATATAGAAGTAACTGTATATAAGGGAGCATTTCCAAAAATGGAAAGATGTGAGCGGGGTGCTACCGTGTTTGATTTATTACATGAGCAATATCTTAGCAAATAGAAAAGATAAGACCTTCTTATTTTATGTTCTAGCTTGTCAACATCTGTAATTTGAGGTTCTAATTTGTATGAAATTATAGACTTAATATTTTGACATCAAAGACATCTAATTTGAACCAGTGCTGCATTCAACATACCACTTGACACAAAAAATCGATGCTTATGTGTTTTTTTTTAATATTTACTTTTAAATTAACAAATTGAGTAATATTTAGTACTAAAATTTTAATTATAATCTACAGTTTGATACCAAACTCATTGATATAAATTCATGAAGTAGTAGTTCAATAAATTTTTGAATGCAAGTCAACAAACAAGATGACATGGCCTTTCACCTGTGACCCATCTCAAAAGAGTTAACCAACTAAAGAAAAGGAGCAGGATGTGGATGATCTAAACTGTCCTCCATCAAGGCCAACCTGGTAAATGAAGGAGCCAGAAAAAGGGAGTCTAAATTTCCCCAACATGTCCAGCATCATTTGCAAAAGCTGCCTCGGAAACCCTCAGAGAGACACCCCTGGTCCGTATATGTCGCCATCTCACAACAGATCATATCATGAACAGCCTCGATTGATAATGACCCCTCCCCCGACTGTTGACAAATGCCAGAAAACAAAGGTGGAATAGGGGTGGTCTGAAATTATTTTATGAAATTAAAAGGAATTTACACTATTGAAAATAGAAATTAATGATTAAAGTCACAACTGAAAACATTAATAATCACAACGCTCCTGTATAGAAACCCATGTTGAATGCTTATATACAGTACCTGGATAGAGACCGCATTAATGTTGGTGGAGAGCTTTGCAAATTAGATATTGCCAAGTGCATTCAAGTGGGGGATAAAAGACTGGAGAAAGCTAGTTCAATGCTTAGATGGGCAAAGAGGTATAAATCTTGAAGATCAAGAAATAACTAAAGTGGCAGTAGATGGTAAGTATGTGCTGGAAAGCCAGTGCATTGCTTGTATGGAGTTTTAGTGAAAAAAAATTTTTTGAAAAATAATTTCCACATTTTGGGTGATTTTGAAAAACTTCCAGGAAACTGATCCAAATTTCTGGAGACTTCCAGAAATTTTGGGAGACTTGGCAGGTTTGTATAAGATTTCTACAGTTTTATTTGTCTTACCTCAATATAATGAAATATATCTTCAAATATTTTTTCTTCTGATATTCTAAAATGTGGATCATCATCATTTGGGTGAGAACACATGTGAATGATTCCATTCATATCCAAATACAAGTTGTCAAATTCTGGTATCTGGAAATACAGAAAAAAAATAAAAAAATATGATTAATAGTAATGACTTGGTAACTCATGATAAGTAGAGATACAACAAACATCAGATAAAAACTTGAACCTACTGATGACTGAAGTTTTACTTATTTTAAAATAAGTGTAAAAGGTATCTATTTTATACAAGGTTATTAAAAACAATGGTTTCCATACCTGATGTTCTTTCACCACTTCACTCAAACAGGGGTAACGTTCACTAATCCATCTGTAAAACTTTGGTACTCCCATTTTTTACAAGTTGAAACTGAATGCAATGATGCAATTTACCTAAAACAGAAGATAAAATAATTTTTTTTTTTTGTAAAGAACCACAGTATCATTTCAACACCTCAAAAAATGAACATAAGTTATAATCAGAGCAAGTTTATTTTTATGCATATTTAATTTTTAGACATATCCTTATTAGTACTTAAATAACTCACAATATTCTGTAAGTAACAAAGTCTATACTTTTAATCTAATACTGAAATTCAACTTTATGACTTAAAACTAATGCAAATAATTACATGCCAAATGTTCACTTAATGAAAAGTGCATAATCAATATTAACTTGTGATCAGATTAAGCTACCAACTTTGATCAAAAATAACAATCAACTCCTAAATGGTTAAAAACAAACATTTTGCTTACAACTTATCATATCTTACTTTCACCCACAATACATGAACACTTCCTTTGATATCTCCAATAATATCTTAGACTATTTTTAAAATCAACTTAAGCACAAAAACCCTTACATCAAATTAGATGTTTGGAGCTAGAAAACTTTAATAATTATTTTCATTGGTCCTTTTTATTTCAATCAACCAATCATGTTCCATTCTACATATACTAGAATATTTTCTTTGAGTAAATAAAGCATTATACATTTATTAATAATCTAATTCCCCTATTTATCTTCTTAACAATGGGCTTTTTGTCAGAACACAATATTTTGGAAATCCCTTAATTCTTTTTTCAGCTAAATGTTTATTCATCAACAAACAAAAACATTATACAGATGAACAACAGGATGACGGCAGCAACAACAAACATTTGATACTTGTATGTTCAGTAACAAACATTTAATTCTTGAATGTTTTTGGATATACAAGCTATATTGAACATGGTAAATATTTAGGTGCAGACATTTGATAAAGTTTAAACATTATATAAAAAGTAATTAAATGACAATCAAGTAAACAGAGGATAGAATAATGCAATAATTAATGCAATGTGATATTATTTAAAGTTGGGAGTTCATTTACAATAGATAAACTTTCTGTAATTAAAAAGTTCAATATTTGATGATCTATACGAGATGATTTTGAAATTCATAATCAAGACAGGATGGTTAATGTTTTCACTGTGTGTGCGAATTGTGGAGTCTGGTGGATTCGATCATTTTTTAACCAGTACTGCCTCATACTCCCATATGCTCGCAGGTGTAATTAGCATCCACTTTTGCCAATGTTTAAAATTTATAAAATGTCTGAATCTAATAATTTACGATGTTCAATATAGCTTGTTGAAGATGGAATATGTATATTCTAAATCATTCAAGAATTAAATGTCTGTTACTGAACATTCACATGTCAAATGTTCGTTGTTGCTGCCATCATCCTGTTGTTCATTATTAAACTTCAATTCTCTTCAATTGAATCTATTGCTAACATAATACAGTTTCTGAAGTCAACTTTTCAGAATCACTTACACATAAACACAGATTAAGTCCATAATCATAAATTTATATTCTTGACTAAAATAACTTAAAACAAAAAATAATATATGTGTATACAAAACTACCACACCACAATTATTCAAAAATGCTTTCAGCTAATGTGGCTTTGAGAAATCGTTTTAGTAGACCTTATGAATGAACTGCAATTTTTCTTTAACTTATTAAGACTGAAGTACAGTTTCATCATCAAAGTATACACAGTTCATAAGGCCAATTAAGAAAATTTGCAGTTCATCATTTCCATCTGCCTCTATTTGATATTTTCTCACCAAAAGTGTATTTTTTCAACCTATCATGACCAGAGAAGTTTTTTATCTTCTCACAGTAAAATTAGAAAATTGGATCACTGGAAAAATAATTATAAGTATAAATTCATCCCTGCTTCCCCATTATTTATCAAAACTAAAGATTAGGTATCTGTCACATTTTATGGGTATAACGAATTTGTTATGTATTTATCTTAATATGAACGTTGTTTAGATTGAGTTTATATTTAAAAATATACATAGCTTGTAGTGTTAGATATGTATTGCGCAACTCCCGCCTATTCTCCAAAGTTGTAGAAGATTCTCAAGAGTAAGAATCAACAATATATGTGTGTATGTAAATGCCTTTAACCAGTATTGTTATGTAAGACTGAAGTTTCTAGAAAACGTTCCCATGCTATAAATATCATTAACACGATGCGCCAGGAGTGTGTCTATTATTAGTTTGCTATAGTCAGTGTGCTATAAACCTCTGAAAGTTATAACTGTGATTTTTATAACGCTTTTCAATCGGAAAACTTAAGATATCTGACCAGGAATATTTATAAATTTTGAACGTTACAAATCATTTAACTTCAGTGGATTCTCATCGGGCATTAGAATTTTTATGAAAACATTACCTAAATTCAGGTGTGAGACAAAGTGAGAGACAAAGCTAGCTAGCTTCCCGTTAAGTGAAATATTTCTCCGTCAACTCGTAATTAACTCACTCATCATGAACCCTCGATAAGATATCCAGACTAGAAAGAAGACTTTATATTGTTTGTAAGTTCGCAAATATCGTAAATTAACTAAAATATCGGCATATATTTAAATACTAAATCCAAAGTACAGTTCAATTACTAAATTTAAATTATCAGTTAAACGGGCTTCGGACTATTCGAAAATTCTTAAACGTAACATGTGCCAAATGTTCTATTTCAATTGCAGATTTATCAAAACTTACATTACATGTTCAAACATAATTATCATGGAATATGGAATGAAAATGTCACTGTTTTTTGTCATGCATATGAAAACATTTTGTCATACCATGAGACAAACAACTTCACAGCAGATGTCCAAAATCTTAGAGAGACAGACTCCAAACCTTCCAGAAGTGTTTGGAGAAAAAGGGAGTACAGTAATAGTGTCTTACAATAAAAAAGACACATTTAGACAGAACATAGTGGCCTCAACCACTGCTTGATACTCAGATCATCAGCCAGAAACCGCATCGCTCTTTCAGGGTCTATTCCAGTGCAGCACTCACAGTTGACAATGGCAGCAAATGAATGCCACCACTGAGCATCAGGCACCATCACCATCAGTAACTAACTCAGTGCTGCAGATAAGTTTTTCTGTAAGGAGTAATTACTCCCAGAATTCTGTCAGCAGGAGTAATTTTAAACTATTTACAAGGTGCAGCAGGAACACTTTGTGATGAAAAGTAATTTAACTAATTATGAATTATTTTAATATTTCAAAAGGTAAAACCTGGAACATTATTAATGAAGTCATAATAAACACAAATAATGACATTACAACTTTTTCTTTTACTTTTTACACAAAATTTAATCATTCACGAGTGCACCAATAGAAACTTTTGGCAGAGAGCAATTATTTTTGTAGATTTACTGTGTGAACTGCACTGATCTTTTGCAGAACTGCAGAAATCTACAATATTGTGCCATTATTGTACTACCGTTAAAGCAGCAGGAGCCATCAAGGCCATAAATGGCTGATTTTTGGTCGAGAAATATGGCAGCACACCCATTATCTGGAGCACTGCTACTTGCACCTGGTCTTATTGTGCTGATTCCAAGCCCATGCAGACCTATTCTCAGCATCCTCACATTTCAGGCATTGCCCCACTATTCCAACTCTCCTCAAGAAACAAACCCTCAACATCCTACTTCCATTGCAAATACCTCACAACTCCAGTCTGTAGCACAACACTTTCCAATAACTATTCATACCTAAGCAACTTTCTCTCATGGGCCAATATGATATTTTCCTCCGATAGTACAGTAAGCTCCACCATAACATCTTAACTTCTAGGCTCCATATCACCATTTCATGTCATTGTCCAGTTTATAAAATCTCAGGAGGAAACACTAGATGTGTACCTACCTTTAAAACCAGATGTAAGCCCACTTTATAAATTGATTGCTTGCTTCTTTCTCAAAATTATTCTTTCTTTCACAACCTCGATACTTCCTTATTCTTATACATCCTTAAAAACCATAACAGCATTCCACTCTATTCCATTCAAAACCTGATTGTGCCTCCATATGTACCTACCAAGTCCTTGCCAATATCCTGCAAGAATGTGTTCCAGCATCACCCTACAAGAATACTCTGGACACTTCTTGACTTTCCACCTAAGTTAACTGGACTAGGAAGCTGGGGAAGTTAGTCAAACACTGCCCTGAGCAAGAAGCTAAATCTAAATGACTCCATCTGCCAGATGTACATCAACCTTGCTGAGCCTGAGATACTGCCTTTGCTACCCTTCTTTCTTCTTCTAACTTCCTTAATTCTTCTGTTAGCATTTTTTGTGTTCTTCCACACTACCTTTCAAAAACCACACCTGATTTTCCCAACCTCAGCTTCTTCTATCCATTTGCACTGTTCCTACAATCTCCTTCATTGCTAGCCTACTTTCCACATCTGCAACCTCTGTCCCTATATCCCACTTTCTACTTGTGGCAATATTCCCCAATAGCCTTATCCTTTGATTCCTTCAACATCATAGGAAGCCTATTCTTACCAAATTTGCATTCTTCCACTAACAATGGAAGTTATCATTTTCCTAAACTGGAAATGCATTTCCAAACATACTTACCTCCTCTGACACTAATAGCTATTTCTCGATCTTCATCTTTGCCATCTTACGTTGTGTTTGCTTGCTCCAGTCTTTATATACCCCACTTGACTGCCCTTGGCAATATTTAATTTGCAAAACTTTATGCCGGCTCTCACATGCCCTCTATGCAGGTACTGTATAAAGCACTGTATGCATACAATAAATCCCTTTTTCGAGATTTACCATATTCCAGTCACTAACACCAGCTCTTAATGGGGAGGAAGGGAGGGACAGTGTCAGTGGAGGTATGTTTGAAAATACATTTTCAGTTTAGGAAAATGATAACTTTCAAAACATACATACCTCCGCTGACACTAATAGCTAGTATCCCACATTGAGAAAGCGGAGGGGCCGGTGAGGACAGAGATGATACAGAAAACATCTGCAGAGAACAAATATGTACCACGAGAAGTAGTATCAAAGTGGGGAACAC